ACACTTGGCAAAATTCGAAATCCACACATAATCTCTGCTTTCAGCAAAACAGGAAAAGGGAACCTAACGTGTATGGGGAGGGATCTAGAAAAAAACAGGCAGCTATCAATCATACTGTAAGGTAAAATAATGAACAACACTCTTACTCCTATCACAAGCCTTACTTCAAAAAGGACTAGTAAAAGCCCAATATAGTAGTACATGCCCGTAATCCCAGCACTCCAACAAGGTGAAGAAGGTAGAAGGAGCACAACTTCAAGGACAGCCTGGGCTTCATAATGAAACACTGTTAGGATATAAAATCATATTACCTTGGACAAACTTTCAGCCATTGCTTTTAACACTGAACAACCTTATGATTCCACATTTAGGTATTTTTTACAAGAGAAATAGAAACAAAGCACAAAAAGACTTTTATAATATTCAGGTCTAAGGACATAGCTCAGTGGTAGAATGCTTGCCTTGCATGCACAAGGGCACGTTGGGTTCAATCCCTAGTACTGGGGAAAAAAATTCATATGAACCTTATCATAACAGCTACTGGAGAATGAACTGTAATCTACTCATCTATTCATAGAATGAAATATTACTCAGCAACAAAAAGGACCAAATGGACATGCAACCACACAGAAGAATCTTCCACAAGAGTAGATAATATGCAATTTCACTTACACAAAATTGTAAAAGCGGCAAATATAATCTACAGTATTTAAACATCTTGGAGAGTGGTAGCCAATGGGGTGAGAGCAGGGATTAATGGAAAATGTTTTTCAGGACCTTTCTGGAGTGAGGAGGCTATGTACTGATGGGGATTTGTACAATGTGTGCATATGCATGTCAAAATCATCATTACCACCAACCAGTCAAGGTCAGATGTATGGATGCTTGCAATGCTTCTTTAAAATACATCAAAAATAAGATGCAATGATGGATGCAGAAACAGAGAGATAAGTAACACAGCAATCATGAAATTTCAACAATTCTGTAGGATGTAGGTGATTGATGAGTGGGTTTCCATTGAACAATCCTTTCAAATTTCTGTATCTGAAAACAGCAGAAAAGAAGGAAGGAAACAATAATGTTATATTATAAGAAATAAAGGAGAAGAGCTTAAGGAAGGAATGCTTCCCATTATCAAAGAGAACCAGCAGGAAGAAACTGAAAAGAAATTGTTATGAAATAAATGGGAGGTATTAATACAGATACAGACACATAGGTTAACAAATTTTAAAATCAATTCATTCTGTACATCTCTAAAGAGTTAATAGGAATGGGGCTCTGTGCACCTAGTTTTTAAAGCTTTCCAAGCAATTTAGCGTAGTGCAACAACGTTAACAACTTGTTAGCATTGGCTTAAGTGTCTCAATCTAATCTATGACACTACACACAAGTTGGGGTTAAGGGTTCCCTCAGACACAAAAACTAGGAATAGGATAACACATAGAAACTTAACAACATGGAAGGCAGACCCAAGAGTAAGAGTATTCACATCCAAGTGAAGTTCCTGGGACTCCTGTCAGGAGAAAAAGGAAAGGACCTCCAAAGTGACAGCATTTGACAGGAGGCTAACAGGAAAAGTACAGGTGATCGCCCCCAGGTGATACAAAGGCAGAAACGACAGTAGATCCATACTTCTACCAGGTAGTCACTTGAATTCCCTTAACTCATCCTCCCTCAGTAAGGCTTGGATACTTGAAACTATAACAAGATTTCTCCTGGCCTCCATATGATAGCTTGTTTCTCTAGCAACTATTAACAAAGAACCTTTTCAAGATGATAAAAACTGCTAAGAATAGCAATATTTTTTAATAAAACTGGATTATCACATATCACACCAGTATCTATTAACATTTGAAATATAACAGTAATTGAACAAACTATTTATGCAATCCTCAAATGTTTCACTTGCTCACATATTCTGTAACCACCACAGAAACAATACTAATTCCCTAATAAGTTGTTGATCCCCAAGGGTCCACCACCTACACAGACAGACACTCCCACTCTCGACCACACACACACACACACACAGAAATCTCTCTCATCACACACTCATCTCTCTCACTTCTGAGTTTATGACATTTGTGGTTTTTGGCAACCCAATACTGTTTTCTCCTACATTTGTCTTGTTTTTGCTTCTGTTTTTTGAGATAGGGTATCACTAGGTAGCCCAGAATGGCATTCATTTGTGATCTTTCTGCCTTAGCCCGCTAAGTGCAGGGATTACAGGGATGTACCACCTGGCTAATAATGGATATTTGGAGGTAATGGTTTATAAGTGAGTCTTTTTTTTTAATGTGTCTTATTTTCATCTTTGTGTGTATTTTCTAATTTTCCTGTAAGGAATTTTTACATTGCTTGCATTTTCAAAAATAAAATGCAAGGTACAACTATTTTATTTAGTAAAAATAAAAACTCCCCCCAACCAACAGTTAATCTCACTAACTTAATAGCTTTAAAGGCACTGAAATCTCCCAATTTTCTCCCGTAACATACATCCATCTCAGTCAGTAAACAGTCCTGAGCATTTTCACACGAGTGAACATTCTCAGGCTGACCATATATATGTTCAACTCAACTCAAAAACTAAGGACTAGGCCAGGACAGACCCGTCCTCCCAGCACTCAGGAGGCTGAAGCAGAAGGATCACCAAGTTTGAGGTCAGCCTGGCTACATAAAGACCCCATCTCAAAAAATAAAAACAAAAGCCTAAGGCTCAAGGATGAAAAATTTCAGTTGTTACTGACATTTTGACTAAAGATGAACCAAACCAAGCCATCCAGTGGCACACGTCTCTAATCCCAAAACTCAGGAAGCTGAGGCAAGCTGGAAGATAACAAACTTGTGGCCAGCCTGGGTTACAGAGTGAGACCCTGTCTCGGAAAAAAAAAAAAAAATCATATAACAGAATTCTACTACTAGGAATTCAATTCACACTAAATGGAGACTAAAGAGACTTATCAACCAAATGTAGTACTGGATCTATTACTGAAGGGGAACAATGATGGGTGTGATTAGATTATCCTATAGGTGCTGCATTCACCTAAGCTGGTAATGTCCTGTAGAAACATCACAAACTGAGTGTGAAACACAGGTATTTAGGCTCAGGGACAATTCTGTCCACACAGAGAGCACACAGCCAGAGGAATGCTGCAGGAAATGGGATTGCAGGCTCACAACTGTGAATATGGGCAAGGGTTAATGAGTGTCCTCTGCACTGTTTTTATTCTTTTAAGCTTGAATTATCTCCAAACACAACATTTTTAAAAGCTGAATTCCCTCAGCCTGGTCTGTGTTCTTGGGTTCTCACATCTACATCACCCTGCTTTCCCTGTACATGCCTAAAACATGACTTATAGGCAAAGCTGCAAAGAAGTCCACAAGTTTTCTCATTCACGATTATTTCCTGAGCAACACACTCTACCTAGACACTTCCACTCTGAGCATCTCTCCTATCCTTATACTTCCAAGAGAACTTTTCAGTGACACGGTTATTTTAAATATTTCTCTAGTTGTGTTCTGCTTTTATTCATTCATTCCAACAATATATGTGAAGCATTCATGTGACAGACTCTACTTCTGATTGTAGGTAGAACAATGGATAATAGGACGATGAAGTCCTTCTTACATTGGGGGGATGGGAACAGGGGACAGATGAGCAGATGACCAACAAATAATCTCAGGTAGAACAAGTGCTGTGAAGAAAACAGGAGGGTATAAGAGAGGACAGCAAGTTAGGGTGAAGAGCTCTCTGAGAAGGGAACATCTGAACAGAGATCAGGACCATACAGAAATTATTTATCTACCTGAAAGCAAAATTAACTCTGATCATTGTCACTCAGTACCAGATTGCCATTTATAAGTAAAATCTGATTCAAAATCTGTAATCCAAATATTAAAAACTGGGCTCTTCCTAGGCTGTAGTACTCTGAATAAAATTCTTTACAAGTTGTAATATTATTTTTATAGCTATGAACAAAACATATACAGTATTATCAACGACTGTAATGGATAGACAGTAACCTTATTTTTTTTTAACATTTTTTAAACTACATATGCCAACCACAAACTCAATGTTAGAAGGATAAAATTACAGGAAAGCAATGAAGTATGTGACTCTGACCTTAATTTTCAAACTTTCATAAGACTGTACATATATAAATTCATGAATGAGGACAAAAACAGACAAGAAAAAGAAATCCTATTGTATGATGTGCATGCCTATTCGTTGATCACTCTAACAAATACTGGGAAATTATAGTCTTTTGCTAAAACAATAAACAATTCAACACACTACCCTCAAATATCGAAAGCAAGTAGTTTTTATAACTAAGAACTATAAAAATTTCCTCCTAAGCCAGGAATGATGGTCCACACCTATAATCCCAGCACTCAGGAGGCTAAAACAGGAGGATCAAGAGTTTAAGGCTGGCCTGGGTTACATAGTGAGACCCTGTCTTTTAAAAACAAACTTCTAAAAGTAGCTTTCAAAATCTGAATACCTTAGATAGCCCACTTAGTCAGAAAGACTGAAGTACTGAAGATACTTTTACACAGATATCTGAAGCATTAGCTATTCCCATTTCAAGGAATCTTACCCATTCTTCAACAACTTTAAATCCGGGCTGGGGGTTAGCTCAAGTGGCAGAGTGCCTGCCTAGCAAGCTCAAGGCCCTGAGTTCAAACCCCAGTACTGAAGGAGAAAAAACAATTACCTCAAAATTAATGTCTGGGTTAGGGGTGTAGCTCGAGCAGCAGAGTGCCTGCCCAGTAAATTCAAGGCCCTGAATTCAAACCACAGTACTGCCAAAAAAGTTTTTTTTAAACAGGGCTGGGGGTGTAGCTCAAAGGCGGAACACCTGCTGGCATGGACAAGACCCTGGGTTCAATCCCAGTACCATGAAGAAGAAAAGAAAAAAATTCCACAAAGTCTTTACATCTTACTTCCAAAGGCCAATACTAGCAGCTCCAATACTTGATCTGTCATTACATCTACTTACCTTCAGCAACTCCTTGCAGCTGTCAAGTCCAATATCCACAAGAATGCCTTTCACCCTCTTCCGCACCTTTCTGATACTGTCAAGATTTTCCACAGGAATTTGAAACATTTTTGAAATTTTCCTTAAAAGAGAAAACAAAACTATAACACGTATTTTATGTAAATATGTAAATGTGAAAACATGAGGGCTGGTAAAACAATAGGAGTGGAATATAATTTTCAACAAATGATGCTGGGAAAACTGGATAACCACATGCAAAAGAATGAGACTGGACTCCTTCCTTATAGCACACATGCAAATGCAGATCAGACATCTACATGTAAATATGAGCTAAACTATAAGACTTCTGTGAGAGAACGATTGTCATGGCTTTGAATTTGGCAATATATAAGACACCAAAAAGAATGAGCAACAGAAGAAAAAAGTAACTTAGACTTCAACAAGATTAAAAACTTTAATACCTCCAAGGCTACCATCAAAAAGGCAAAAATTCCACAAAATGGGAAAACATTTTCAAATCATATTTCTGATAAAGAATTTGTATCCACAATATATGAAGAAATCTTGTTAACTCAATAACTAAAAGGCAAGTAACCCAATTTTAAAATGGACAAAGGATCTACAATTATTTTGCCAAAGCAAATATACAGACATTAAGCACATGAAAGGATGCTCAATATCATCAGCCATGGGAAATACAAATCAAAATCACAGTGAGATGCTATATAGTAGAATGTCTACACTTTTTAAATAAGGAAAACAACATGTATTGGCAAGAGTGTGGAAAAACTGTAACTCTCATGTCTTGCTAATAGAAAGGCACACACTATAACCAGTTTGGAAAAGTCTGGAAGTCCCTCAAAAGACTAAGCATGTAAGAACCACTTGAATCAGAAATTTTACTGGCAAGAAATAAAAAACACCTATCTACACAAAAACTTGGACAAGGGTGTTTGGGGCAGCATTACTCACAATGACCAAATCTCCATCAAGTGATGACAGGACACATAAAATGCATACACCCATATTTGGAGCCACAGAAAGAAACAAAGCATGGATACACGCTAGAAAATGTGGATGAACCTTAGAAACATTCTGCTGAGTTAGGAGAGGCCAGACGCAAAGGACCATATGTGTATGATTCCACTTACATGAAGTGTACAAACAGATCTATTTATAGACAGAAAATACAACAGGGGTTTGCCTGAGGCTGGGGAGAACTGGCCTCTTTTTGGAACAATGACAATGTTCAAAAATCAACTGTGAGCATACATGGTGGCACATGCCTGTAATCTTAGAAGGTGGAACACTGAGAAAGGAGGATCGTGAATTCAAGGTGAATTGAACAGGGAAAGGTGGTACAGGCCTGTAATCCCAACACCAGGAGGCAGGAGGATCGCAAGTTCGAAGCCAGCTTGGGCTACACAGCAGGTTCCAGGCCAGTCTGGGCTATGAGGCTGTCTCAAAAAATCAAATACATACATACATAAGAATGGGTCATCTGTACAGTATGTACTATGTACACTATTGCAATAAACCTATTTTTTAAATATCTGAAAAGGCACAGAATTAAACACTATGGTACTCAATCAGACTAGGAAGCACTGATGTGACCTCATCAACACAGATAAAAATCAACACACTGTGAGAGTGTATGCACACAGATGTTTATATTCCACAACTCTGTCCAATCCACAACTCTGTCCAAAGAGAAACTGTCAGAAGTCACACACCCTGGCAGCAGTGGGCCTACCTAGGGCCCCAATCTTCATTTCTAAATACTACTTTCTGTTAAGAACTAGGGCTCCTTGGGAAACAGCCAATTCTAGGGCTAGAGCAAGGCAAAGACAAGATGAGCCTAACCATCCTGTGCCAAAAAATAAGACAGTTGCTCAGAGAATGATGAGTCATTCACAGAACACAGAAGAAACCAGCTTGGAGGTTCCACAGGCCAATATAGGACACTGGCACCAAGTAAATGACAGTAACAGATCATGGCCTGAAGCACAAAACTTTCCAAAGATACATGTACCTATTTCACAGAAAGCTAATGCTCCTCCCAAATGCTAGGCAGAACTTTTATGGCTACCTAAATCAACCAAGTATGGAGAGTGCAGTGCCATGAGAACGAACCCCAAGACTAGATCATGAAAATGTCACACCTTTTGCTCTCAACACCACATATGGAATCCAGCCACCATGTCTACACGCATGAACCCAACAGAGATTCAGGGTTCCACACCCACCAGCACAGTGACACCACCTCTGGAAGGTTCTGGCCTAACTTCAAGGTCACTAGTGCCTCCCAGGCCTCCCCACACTGCACAGGATGAGTCCTTTCCCCACTCCCTGTCTAAATTCCTGACCCGCAGAACTAGTGAGCCTTCTTAATAAAATGCTCTCCACTAAGTTTTGGCATGGTCTTTATACAATAATAGTAAGTACAACATAGTTCCCTAGAATATAAACTCAAGTCCATATTAATATAAATAAACTGACAGTATGATAAAGAATGGAATATCTATACCTACCCACAATATATCTATTAATAAAGCAGGCAAAGTGGCCCACACCTGTAATCTAACATTAATAGGATAGTAAGTTCAAGGCTAGCATAGGCACATAGTGAGACCCTGTCTCAAAAAAAAAGGAAGAAACAACAAATCTATTAACTAAGAGATAAAGAACAAGTCTGGCAGACAAGTCCAAAAAGAGAGACATTGTACAAATCAACTATCCCATATTCAGAACTTTTAAGATCATATAAGAGAACATACATTTGGCTAAATCTCAGAAACTTGGAAAAATCCAGATGTCCATCAAATGGTTCAAGGATAAGTAAATGTGGTATGTCCATCCAGCAGAATACTGTTTGGCAATAAAAGGAGGTACTAATGCAAGCTGTAACACTAATCTCAAAAATACTGAACTAAGTGAAAGAATCCAGAAGCCAACATACCCTTATTGTCTGACTCCAGTTATATAAAGTGTCTAGAGAAGATAAATCTACAGTTGAACAGCACATTAGTGATTGGTGGGGGAGCTGGGAAGTAAGTGAATAGGGGACTATTAATGTTCTAATATTAGATTGTGGTGACAGTTGCACAACTGTAAATTTACTTTTGTTAAAAAACATCATGGAAGAAAAAAACTAAAACTATTCCAGATTGAAGGAGACTAAAGATAAATGAAAACAAAGTGCCACTCTAAATTCATCATTTTTCTACAAATGACATTATTGGAATGACTGGCAAAATTTCAAAGGAGTCTAAGATCAAATCTACAAAATATAAATTTGTAAAATACAGCTGGACACCAGTAGCTCATTCTGTAATCCTACCTACTTGGGAGGCTGAGATCAGAAGGATCACAGTTGGAGGCCAACCAGAGCAAACTGTTTGAGAAACTACATCTCCAAAACAACCAGAGCAAAAATAGACTGGATATGTGGCTCAAGCAACACAGCACCTGCTTTGCAAGCATGAAGCCCTGAGTTCAAACTCCATTCCCACCAAAAAATAAAATATATTGATTTCCTGATTTTGATGCTATTGCTATGGATACGTAGAAGGATGTTTGTGTTTTGGGTGATAAGGTATCTTGTTTGGCAAAAAAGCTCTTTGTACTATACTTGTAACTTTTCTACAAATCTACAACTATTAGGGCTGGAAGTGTGGATCAAGAGCATGAAAGCTGAGTTCAAACCCCAGTACAGCCCACAAAAATAAACAAATCTGCAACTATTTTTAATTGTGTAAACTATGAAAGCTAAAAAAAAAGTCAAACACACGAACACAGTAGTACATGACTGAAATTCCAGCTACTGAGGAAGTGAAGGAAGGAGGGGAGAAGGATCATGGGTTTGAGGCCAGCCTGGGCAAAGGCAGAAAGACCGTTTGGAAAACAAAATACTAAAGAGCTGGGGATGCGGCTCAAGTGGTAAAAATACTTGCCTAGTATTTTCAAGGTCCTGGATTCAATCCCCAGTACTAGGGGAAAAAAAATAGTAAGGTAAAAATAAGTCAACGTCAAGTGGCAAACATTTTGGATACTCAACTTAATAACTGAAGAAATCCTATATGAAATAATAAATGCCAATTTTTTTACTGTGAACCCCCAAAACTCAGCAGGGCACCTCCTTCATTCACTCCCCTCACTATGCTGTAATCACGCAATTAGCTGGACTGAACTTCCTCAGTCAGGGAAGGAATCATGTCACAGTACACAGAAAATACTAAGTGAATGATATAAAACAGGGTTAGAACCATATAGGAAGTGTAGTAGAGCCTCAAAAGAGGGAAAGCCTGTATGGGCCAAACACATTCCAGGCAAATAATTCTAAAAAAATAACTGAAGTAAAGGAAAGAATACCTGAATATATTTAGCAATCATTGAGTAAAACCAAAAAATTAGACTGTAATCAAACTGAGAAGAAGGCAGAGGAAATTAACAAAAAAGATAGGAATTTTTGGAGGAAACAAAACTCAGTGTTTAGAGTGGACCAATTTAGAATGGGTATGTTTCTCTTTACTCCAGTTACCCAGGTACAAAGTATACATTAGGGCTTTGGGGACCATTAGCAGTACAAAACTGGGGGATATAAAATCACAGGAAATGAAGGAAAAAATAATAAAATTTTAAAATAAAATACATTGAATTGGGTTCTACCCTTCCAAAGTTATACTTTAGCAGAAGAACTTTCAGGAACCTCATGATGCTTTTCAAACAGTCATACACATATAAGGTCACTTTCTAGGCCAGACTGGCTGGGTTGGCCAAAGTGCACAAGAATTTGGTCACTATCAGATGCCCACTCACTCTATCAGACACACTCCCACTTCCTCCTTCAAGCTGCACTACTGTCAATCCTCCAGGGTTCTTCTTTCTCCAAAAGCTAGCTGTTATGCAGGATTATCTAAGGTTAGGACCCTCATCCACCCAGCTCAAACAGGGAAGCTAAATTTACAAACACAATCTCAAGTCATACAGCAAAAGCTGCTCTTCTAGGGTCTGAGAAACAGGCAACTGGGCATTGGTGCACTTTGAGAATCAAGTTTTGAGGACTGGCTGATTCTCAGAAGCGCAGGGTTTCTAAAATGAGGCTGTCAGTGATCTGGCAAGTTTGAAGCAGGCTCTGTAGTTAACTTGTTCACAGCTGAGATTAGGGTCAAGAACTCAGTTTCTCCTTCAATTTGAAGAATGGGAACATTTTACTCCCAAATGTAAGTGCCTTACTACCTCATCACTGTTACTGTGATCCCCAAAAGAACAAGCACATAAATCCCTTATTTAAGAAAAGTAAAGCGTGGGAAAACGTTCCCTTTTTTAGCAGTTTACAATGTGCTTTAGGAAAACCAACTGAGAATAACAAAAAATAAAACACTGGCAATTACAGAAGTTTCATCACCTTCAAGCCCATGGTCTACTGCTGCAAATCACTTTGGGAAGGGCAAGCTGATTTTTACCCACAATTTCTGAACCATCCTAAAATACAAGATTCAAAACAGAATGTCCAGTAGACTGATTAGCTAAGAGGAAATCATTTGCTGTTTTCACATTTTTAGACCCTGATCTTCACCACTGCAAACAGCAGCTGGCTTCACTTACCAGTGCAGTGGTACTTACTTCAACCTCATCCTAAAGGATATCCCTTTGGGAAAAAAGGGTTTCTTTGCTGTTTTTGGTGTCCTCGCTATTCTAGAGTATCATTCATTATAAAAATATACACTCAAAAATGACTACTTTTTCCAGGTGATAATACTTTTAAGTCACCAAACATTCTCTTCAGTTCCTGTGACTTTAAGTTTTAAAAGGATTTTTCTTGAAAGGCAGCACAGCACAATGATCACCAACAAAGGAGTGCTGTGTGCCTAGGTGAAGTCAACTCCACCACTGATCAGCTGTATAATCTTAGGTAAATTACTTAATCTCTCTGGGCCTCACTGGCCTGTCTGTAAAACAGGGTGCAAGCAACCTACTTCAAGGGCAGCTGTGAGGTGGCATGACTTAACTCATGTGAAGCACTTTGCACCTAAGCATTATGAGTTTGCTACTCCTAACTCCAAAACCACTAAGTAAAATGCCCCACCTATTAGGATACAGGACTGTCTTTTAAAGCAACTTTTAAAAGACAGAATGTGATTCAGTGTGTGTTCAAATCACAGCAAAACCAGTTCCTAACCATATGATCTTCACCTATCAGCTTTCTCCTGTGTGTCACGGTGCCTAACTTGCAGCCAAAGGGTTGGGGGCAGGATGCAGAACTAGAATTTACCACCTCAGAGTAACAAACAAACACAAATGCACCAGTAGTATACCGCAAGTTGATTTCAAATTTAAAAAGGGTCCCCCAAACACTAGTACCTCTTCGGTCAAAAATCTTTCCATAACTGTCACCATGACCCAAATATCCATTCCTATTAGACATGTCCTCATCCAGCCCTCATCTCCTCCCATCTCTCACCTCATTTCCTGCCAACTCCTGCCCATCATTTCTAAGCACAGAACTGTCATTGCTGTGCTTAAGTACCATTGGCTCGCTGCTGTCTTCAGAGTGAGGTCCCAAGTCTACCTCAAACACTGGGCATGTGGCCAACTCTCCAGCAATATCTCTAGGTAAATTGCACATACATGACTTCCAACCATAGCTTAACACTACACTTGTCACAACTCCTACGTTGTACACATGGTCCTCTCCATCCCCACGTCAGCAGGTTGCAAGCACCTTTTGGACAAACGTGTGCGCACCTCCAACCACCTTGCAAAACGCTCCGTCTGTACCTACCTGCTGTTGATTACCCTGTACCACCTTCCTCCCGACCCGAAACTCGAGATTTCTCAACATCTCCAGAGGCTGGTCACATGAGCTCTAACAGCACTTAATACAAATCGACTCAAATTCAAAGACAATATGTGAACACGCAGCCCAATTTCCACGTTCCTAGGCCAAATGTCTGTAGAAATTTTGCACACAGAATCCACTTCAATGGCAGATGCAAAGTGAAATTTAAAGTCAGTCTGTGCTCGTCCGTCATGGGACTCACATCCAGATCACTGGGAAAGGAAGAGGGACTTGCCACGGGCAGTCTTTAAACAGACCTTTCCTTCCGGGAAAACGGGGCGCTCCAGTTGTGGCAGGAGTCCTGCCCCGCATCCCCTCAACCGTCCAGCATCCAGTCATCCGCGGCACCTCCCCGAGGGCCGGGCCCGGCGCGGGCGGCGCTTCGGCTCCGCTCCCGGGTCGCCGCGGAGGGCGTCCTGCTCGCCGCCCGCGACGTCATCCCGCCCGCCCGAACTCTTACTCCTCCCTACCGTCTCTCTCCTCAGTCCTCCTGGCCCCACCCCCTCGCTTCATCTCAACTATCCCCCCGCGTCCCCTTCCCAGTCCGGTCCCCTCTCCCGCGTCCCCGTAGTCCCCTATCCGCCCCTCCCCCCGGGGCGGCCCCGCTCCCACGTGACCGGCGGGCGGGGCAGGCGGGCGCGTCTGTGGCCCGGAGCCGCGCACTGCAAACGTCCCGGATTCCTGAGGCACCACTGAAGGGACAGCACAGCGGACCGCAGCGGGGGCGGCGTGGCTGACCGCAGTGGGGACGCCGCGGCGGAATGGACGACTGATGGGCCGCTGGGGAAGAGCAGCGGACGTCGCGGCGCGGGCCGGGCTGACTGTACCTACCGCCCGGCGCGAGGAGCGCCGCGTCCCGCCGCCGTCGCAGCGCTGCCGCGTCCTCCGCCCACGCGGCGGGACCCCCGCCCGCGCCCACCCCGCGCCCGTCCCTCCTCCCGCGCTCCAGAAAGAGAAGATGGCGCTCAGCTGCCTCAGGAAGTGACGTTGCCTCATTTGCATGCCAGCGCAGCTAGCCAATGGGCACAGAGTGTGCTTGGGGACCCCTGGGCGCTTCCCAAGGGCCCCTGGGCCCCTCAGGCCTCGAGGCTCTGGAAGGGGTGGGGCCTGTTGGGGCCCCCTCCCCCTGGCCTTCCCTACCCAGTGGACAGTCTGCCTGCCTCTCACCACCTCTGGGCAAGCTCTCGGGAATTTGAGTCAGTAATGACGTCATTAAAT